ACTGAGATTCAGGCGAGGTGAGGTGGATCAATGAGAAGGCAAGTTCTGGGGTCACAGGCTTCTCCTCATTTCCCGTGAGCTGCCTGAGGAGTCTGAGCCCACAGACGAAGCAAGTGACGTTCCTTGCAGCTTCCAACTCACATTTAAGTCATTAGAAGAATTCCTGAGACTGAGCTCTTGAGGGGCCGGGGCCAGATCTTCACCCTGAACACTCCCAGTGCCTCTGGGTGCCCAGCACTCGGATGAGGGACCAGGTGTTTCAGCATCCTTGAGGTTTGCAGGGCCGAGACTGCACGCTCTTCCTGGGACAGCCTCGTCATCTCTTTCATTTCAAACCCTTGACTTAATCTGTCTACTTTAAAAAGCATTCCTGAGTCCAGAAAATAGGTGATAATTAGATATGTGCTAATTAATTCAAATGGAGTCCAGGCCTGGGTGCGTGCACACCGGGGAGGGGTTTTCTGACAGAACAGAAGGGCGACTTCAGCTATTTGTTTTCTCTAGATGCCTGTGTGCATGCATACGCGTGCGTATTTTGTGTGCATGTGTGTGCGTGCGTGTGCGTGTGTCTGGGTTTGCTTCTGGCAAAGTAAAGATTAACCTTACGCCATAATGTGGACATTGTTAACCTAGCTCAAACGAAGAAAGGAGATTGAAGCACATTTTTGAGGACAGCACTCCTGGAGAAAAATATCCGATTTCTCTTTCTGCAGGAGCGACACCCTCCTCCTCAAGCCGCCCAGAGGGGGCCCTGACTTCGCGCCCGAGAACGTGACGTGGTGCGGGAGCGCCCTCTGGAGGTTGTAGTGACAACGCGCTCTTCCCCAGAGGATGTGATGGGTTGACGACAGCACCCCAGAACTAGGGGCAGACTGGGCCCAGCGCTGCGACGTTTTTCCGTTACCGCGGAGAAACCGTGGGAACAGACGACGGCCCAGGGCCTGCGCTCGCCGTCCTGCAGCCATCTGCACGCGCGCGCCTCTCGGCGGGCCCGGCGCGAGCTAACACTGGCGCGCGGGCGCGGGCGCGGCGCGGGCGGGTCCACGCGCCCCACGTGGCGCCAGCCTCCAGGAGCCGCTCACACTCACGCAGGTCAGGGAAACTCGATCCGTGCCACACGCTCACCTTACTGAGTGGGCGTGGCAGACCGCACACCTTTTCACAAGGGGAAACCGAAATTCAGAAAAACTCAGGGATCTGGCTGATGTCGCACCTCTGGCAAGTTCAGAGATCTGGGAGACAAAGCCAGTCCCTCTCCCTCCAAAGACGCGTCATATTGTGGGTCTTATTTCCCACAGAGGGATGTTTTATGTCCTTGTTACTTTCTAAGCAGAACTGGGAAGCAGAATTTAAAACCCTTTTCCCCATGCAGTGGACGGAATGTTGCAAACAGGAGATGATCCAGGCCACGGCCACAGTGTCAGAGCTTCGAGCAGCACAAGATTCGGCACAGGAAGCGTCTTCTCTCAGAAGCCATCGTTAGACACGCAAATGGTTCTCAAGTTACCCAGCTTCTCACGAACACGTTTTTACAACTACCATGTACCGATGGGTAGACTTCCACAGCAGTAGTTTGTCCTCCTATTCTGGAAAATCAGTTACTTGTGTAAGTATCTGCACTTGCTGCAGAATGGGGTACAAGACCCCAGGATGGGGTGAGACGCTGCAGGAGGGCAGATGTGGCAGCCCCGGGGGTGCGTCCATCCAGCCAGTCTGCACCTGTGGTTCCAGTCTGTGTGCGTGCAGTTTCTGACCTGCTCTGCTGCAGGTGGGCCCCAGGGTGGCACATCCAACACTCCCCGTGTGTGGCACACGCACCTGCTGGCTGTGAAGGTACATCCCCTGTCACCAGCCCAGCAGAGAGCAGGTCCTAAGTCACAAAAGGAAGGGAAGCAGAGACTGAGGCCGAGTGTTGAGCTGCAAAAAAAGACAAAATGTCCACTAAACATATTTCAAAAATTTAAATCTTCATAATATTATGCACCAAGTATGTTTTGAGAGATTCTTCGCTAAATCTTTATATTGTCAAAAAGTAAATTGTCTGAATTCACTGGTTTTTTAACATTGTGACTTTTACCAATAAATGCAGGTAACGTCAACACTGAGAATTGACATCACGTAGATTGAATTTCCTACTTTGATTTAGTAATTATGACATCAGTAACTACTCACAGAGAAGGATTCACAGAGCACTAGCCTGTCGTGGTAACTTGCATGGGCAAGGCCAATTTCTGTTTTCTGTGATTTGTGTCACCATTGTTAACAAGCAGACCCATCAGGACGAGAAGCCTGGCCTCGGACATTCTACTTCACAATTTGCTGCTTTTCACCCCAATGCTTGAGCCAAAGGGCATCTGGATTTGGAAGCCGAAGAGGAATTCCACGTGACGTCAATTGGGCATTAGACGCAAGTTTGTATTAGTAAATGAAACAAGCCACAAAAACATTTAAACATCAGCCAAAATCCATGTGAAACAAACAAGTAAAATTGTAAAGACAACACAATTCGCCTGCTGTCGTAACTGTCGCACTAACTTTGTTATTACTTGGTTCTCGCTCCCCTGCTGGCACCCGTGACACAGCGGCAGCCTGGCTTAGCTTGTGATGAGGGTGACATCCCAGACCCTCCAGTCTGGCAAGAACCACACAAACGCAAGAATTTTACAAAGTTCTGAAACTTTTTTTTTTTTTAATTTTT